CATGTATTAATCATGTCGGTACGTATAATAGCTGATTAGTAATTATGTCTAATTAATTATGATTTTATTCAGCAACATGATATGACCTACTCACAGACCATTGCCCGATTGCAGCGATACAAAGCAATATCGTGGCGGGACCATTTGATGCGAGAAGTTTCGGAGTAATACTTATAATATGCGACTCTTTGCGGTTCAAGATTCACATTTAGCCGATAGTTGCCGTTGTCGCCATGTTTTCCCGCTCTACTGCTATCATATGTTGGCCATGTTTTCCCGCTCTACTGCTCATATTCTTTGGAGGCGTTTAGCTGATCCATGTCGCCATGTTTTCCCGCTCCTGTCCTCACTCTACTGCTATCATATTCTTTTGCGGCGTTAGCTGATCCATTATCATTATATTCCATAGCATGTTCACGCTGTTCACCAGGCAAACAACTGCTGTTTTTCTGTCTGGAGTTTCTTTAAACTCATGTTCACACCGAATAACACTTGTACTTTCTTTAAGGCAAATTGGCATGTATTTGAAGACACGAGAGGATAACAGACAGGTGTTATCCGGTGTGTACATTGGTCTTAAAGAAACTCAGAAAAAAAGTGGATTTAAAACAGGCCCACTGTACCCACTGCAATTGAGCGTACGAGGCAACTAATGTGGTGCCACCGCAGAACTGTGTTTTAGTTCACCTAGGTTCAGTTGAGCTTATGCCATGGAGCGATGTTCATCGCCAACCTTTTACTTCAAACAACTTCTTCTGAATAACCAAGAGGCACAGGGTGATGCATTTTTGGCCAGTAGCATGCTTGGATCACGGCAACCCAGTCTGTTCAAATGAATGATTTTCGCCCATATTCAAGGCCACAGAGGTTACTTATCTTAAAACCTATAAATAACTTCTAAATAACCAAAAGGTCCAGGGTGATGTTATTTGGCAAGTAGCATGCTCAGATGAAGGGCTATCAAGTTTGTTCAAATGAAGGATCTCGACTCATATTCAAGGTAACGGGTCAAATCTTTTCTATGAAATACACAAAAATTGGTAATGTGATATTTAACCAGTAACATGTCCGAATGAAGGGTTACCAAATTTGTTCAAATAGATGACCTTCACCTATATTCAAGGCCACTGGTGGTAATTATGTTGAAATCTTTAAACAGCTTATCCCGAAAAATCAGAAGGGGTAGGGTGAAGAGATATGGCAAGTCACAAGCTCAGCGGTTTGTCCACATGAATGACCTTCACTCATATTCAAGGTCACAGGGTCATTTAATGTGTTGAAAAACCAAAATGCACAGGGTGGCGATATTTGGCCAGTAGCATGCCCAGATGGAAGGCAATCAAATTTGGTAATGTGAATGACTTTGACTCACTTTCAATGTCACATAAAGTTAAATATGTATAAACCATTAAGGTCCATGGCGGGGATGAAGGGCTATTAAGTTTGTTCATATTAATGACCCTCACCCATATTAAGTCACTTAAACTTAATGAACCTGTTAGACTTGCAATGTCACAGGGGTCAAACATGTTTAAAGTTTTAAACAGGGTATTTTGAATGATTTCGTCATTTATACTAACATTTTGCCTTATTTTAGTCCATTCAATGTTACATAAAGTTAAATATGTATAAACCATTAAGGACCATGGCTGGGATGAAGGGCTATTAAGTTTGTTCATATTAATGACCCTCACCCATATTAAGTCACTTAAACTTAATGACCCTGTTAGACTTGCAATGTCACAGGGGTCAAACATGTTTAAAGTTTTAAACAGGGGATTTTGAATGATTTCGTCATTTATACTAACATTTTGCCTTATTTTAGTCCATTCAATGTTACAAGTGCGAGATACATACATGGTTAGTGATGCAGGCCCAGTTGGACTCTCGCCTTCTGCCTAGTGGACATCATTGGGAGAACCAATTAGTCTACTACACCTATTGCAATACTTGGGACCAATATTAATACTCTTTTGACGGGGTCTACTCTACCTCGGCCTCCGTCTTTATATGACCCTGGTACTTGTTGGGACATTAAAACCCCAAACACATTCAAAGAAAACCTGAAAGAGAAGTTTTTAACATCATTCGATAGAGAATTAAAATTTCGTTTGCTTGGGGTTTACGTCTTCACATCAGGTTTAAGGTCATATGAAACTGGATGCCTAGGGAAACGTCGTCAATAATACAGAGTAGGGAAGTGAGATAAGAATACAAACATCCTAAAAGTTGCAGCAGGTCAAATTTAGGTTCTTCGGTGTTCCCTAATAGAAGACGTGGAAGAAACCGCCCGACTGTCGACGCTTAGGATACAGCAGGTTGATTACTTACTCGAACCTAAAGAGGGGGTAGAGGTGTTGATTACGAGAGGGAGGTATTTAGAACTTAGTTAAAAGATAATAACAAGGCTTGTGCATCCAGTCGGGAGGAACGGCTCAGATAATCCCTGGTGATAACGTGGCATAAATATAACAAGAATTCCATGGAAGTGGATGTGTCGCCTGCGCATGAAGCTGGGAGAATGTGCTTAGCACTGCATGAAGTTTGAGTTTGATCGACCCAAGGAAACTCAAGTTATCGCAGGAAAACAGATTTTCTATTTATAGAAACAGTGACCTTGACCTTTGGTCCTGAAAAGCAATCCCAAGCAAGCGATTTTGGTAAGGAAGCAATGCATGAAGTTTGAGTTTGATCGGCCCAAGGAAACTCAAGTTATCGCACGAAAACCTCTGTGCGGACGCCGCCGCCGCCTAGCAATACCTATGCGTCACCAGCTTTTCGCAGGCGACACAAAAAGGAAGGACATTGATATTATATGAAATTAGAGGTGCTAGGAACACTGAAGAAGCAGCATAGGCGTAATACGGAAGACGAGAAAGCGGGCCAATATAAAAAATGACGTAAGCCGAGAAAGTCGGGAAGAGATCTGGGAAAGAAAAGAGCAGCATGTATTAAAAAATAATTCAGTTTACAGTAAAAGTACATAAGGGTATCGGAGAGACTAGTGCAAGAAAAGCGAGACTGAAGAATTTTGAGATGGGCAAAAAAAAAAAAAATTATCAGTCAAGATTTTGAAGATGACATCTATGGCGTCCATATTGAATTTCAAATCGGCCTCAAAATAACAATAACGGGTCTGCACCATAAACTGACCATTTCCGATAAATTTCAGCTGAACCACTTTTGTAGTGTTTGAATTTAAATTTGATTTTCAGGCGATTTCAAATCGGCTCCAAAATAGAAAGAATTCGTCTGAACCATACATATACAACAAATTTTAGCAAACCAGACGAATAGACTTCAACAAAATCAGTTAAGTAGAAACAAAATAGATTCCACGATGGCTACCATATTACTTCATAATGATATTAAGTAGTTTACCATTAAGAAATACAGTATATCTTTTACCACTGACTTTCACCTAGCTAGCATCACCTAGTGTCAATCTCTACAAATTACAATATTCTTTGGAATAGTTAGCAGCCAACGTTCATCATGAAAGAGATCAAATATAATTGTTTGGACATGACCCTATACACCGAGAAAGTGGCAAGAAACCAAACAAGATTGTTTCATGCAAATATATACAAAACCTGACCTGCATTTTTCATATACAATTTTGACTTAATGCTCATGTGACCTTGATATAATATGGAGCTATTCAAATAAATCCCAGATGCAAATCAATGGTCACTTTCGAGGTGATATGGAAATAGACACTGTGACCTTGCACAAACAAGACTAAAAGGAAACCATTTTTCAAAGTACAAGAAAGATATAGTCAGTACTTTCCCAGAACTAGCAATAAAATGACTTCAAACACCTTGTCTTCCTACCTATAAACAAAACTGATAATGCAAGACAAGAACTTACAAGTTTACAGCAGTTTCTCATAATGAAAGAGAGCTGTCGGAGAACAGCATAGCTCGCCGCCTATATATGTTATTATATTAATACTGCAACTATCAATAGAAACACATGTATAGTAAAATGTTGATATAGTGCCTGTCATTTCACTTTTCACCAGCATATTTCAAGACCGTTGATTATGTAGAAACATCTATGTGAAGTGATTGTAAAGAAATTAACCAAGTCCAATGAAGCTGTTTTTGGCCCCTAAAATATGAACATATTGTCCAGAACATTGCTAACACTACATATAAATGATTCAACCTTATAATAGACAACAGCCTATTGATGGTGGTTTTCCAACACTTAACAAAAAACTTGCCCAAAACTTTAACCTCAAATTTTACCAAGTCCAATGAAGCTGTTTTTGGGCCATAAAATATGAAAATATGGTCCAGCACATTGCTTACATAAGATATGAATGCCTTACACTCATAATAGAAAACTGTGTATCGAGTTTGATGATCCAACACTGTCTGGAAAAACTTTAACCTCCGAAGGTACCCCTCGTTACAATCAGCATCAAAACTGCAAATGCACAACTATGGACTGCAACAAGTGAACTTGTATACAAAATTGTAAAAATATATCCGTCAAGGATTTCTTTAGAAAATATTGACAGCATGAATTGTTCAAGAACAGACAATTTGAACAGCTGATCAACTGGTGGTGTTGGACTGAAATCTCTTCTTTTGAATACAAAGTTCCCTTGTGCATCAATATGTTTTTGACAATTGCATTCACATGTGTTCCAAAACATGTTCCACAAAAGAGGCACCATCATTTATTTATACAATCATGATATTTAATTTCCTTGGTCCATGGATGCTCCATACTGAATCAGATCAAAATTTCTCACCGACTTTTACCTCTGTAATCTATAGGTAACCTTTCAAAATTTACCCTTTTCCCCATTGTGGGCTCTGCCCTTCTGCTACAAGAGAGGTCACACCCTTGAATTATTCAACATTGAATTTTCTTGGTATTTGTATGACCTTCCAAAAGAAAATTTGATGACAAGACGCTATACCATGGGCATAAACTCACTTAGCCATTTTGGCCAAATGAGCTAAAAATGATAAACACTGATATTCTCGTCACAGCCAGTTTAATGCCGACACAGAGGAGTAATGTCTTTTTTTTTTTTCACTGTCTCTCTTTACTTTCCAGGAAGAATGATACCATCATACTGAAATGACAAACAAACAAGTTATTAGTCTAAGCATGGTGTCCATTTGACTTCTATGGGTTCAGAGGAAAGTCCTGTGTGTTATTATGAACAATGGTTCTATGGGTTCAGAGGAAAGTCCTGTGTGTTATTATGAACAATAGTAAACTGGATAAGAAATTTAGTTCTATGGGTTCAGAGGAAAGTCCTGTGTGTTATTATGAACAACAGCAAACTGTATAAGAAATTTAGTTCTATGGGTTCAGAAGAAAGTCCTGTGTGTTATCATGAACAACAGCAAACTGATAAGAAATTTAGTTCTATGGGTTCAAAAGAAAGTCCTGCGTGTTATCATGAACAACAGAAAACTGGATAAGAAATTAATTTCGGTGGGAGGAATATTGTTGTGGTTGTGATGGTGTACCTTATGTTGGAACCACTTCATCGACTCATCCTTATTGACCTTGTGTTTACAGCCGATCTTGCTCTTGCGCCTCCGTCTCTGGGCGATGTTGAAACCTGTTTCCACAAAACAAAAAGTTAGCTCCCTTGAATGATTCATCTATCCGTGCATCAGGGTTTGAAACTAACACATATCAACTAATGTAGTTAAAATAGTTACACCTAGACCAAAATGTCTTGTATGCGGGTCAAAATAAAACTTATGTGATCAAAAATTCTGCTCAAAGTGCTGTCCGATAGATGTTATTTATGGAAAGATCAACAACTTATTAGAACTTGTCATCCTTGTTATTACAAAAATAGCTGAGTATAATGTTTCCATGTTAAATGTAAGGAAAATGTGTTAATTTTTGGCATACTTTATGTACATATCTATGCAAGACCATGACCCAAAGTGTAAGGCTTTTTAAGCAAATCTGATGGTGCTCAATCACAGCAAGTTACAAACCATATAATTGAACAGAGATGCAATTTATATATGTAAGCAGTTTTGTATCACCATCGTGTAACTAACAACACACTGTATGTGTGGCAGTGTTGCAAAGATGTTGACCTTACTTTGGCACAAAGATAAAAGCAGTCGGAGGCATTACAGCAAAAACCTCAGTCTGTGCCAATGTGCATTAAAACGCTACTATTATGCATACACGTACCAATAGAATTTTTCCTATGGTGTATGCCACAGGGCTAGTTCTGGGCCTAAATTCAGTTTCGCCAATTTAAATTTGGGCAGTCAGCACCATAAGCGCGTAAACGCCAGGAGTTATTTCCCAAGGACTTAAATGTCATTTTGAATCCCCCCATCCCACTCCATTTGAATATCAATATGTTTAAAGTTAAAAAACAGTTCCTTAAAAATGTCATGTTTGTGTTTTTGAAGTTTTGTTGTAAAATTTTAAATTGTGAAGAAAATGTTTTACTTTTTGTATATTTTACATACATATGTTCTCCTAGAGCAAATTTGATTGTTCTGAAGCACAGCAAGTTACAAACCATATTATTGAATAGAACTACAATTTACATATGTAAGCAGTTTTGTATCACCATCATGTAACTAACAACACACTATGTGTGTGGCAGTGTTGCAAAGATGTTGACCTTACTTTGGCACAAAGATAAAAGCAGTCGGAGGCATTACAGCAAAAACCTCAGTCTGTGCCAATGTGCATCAAAACAACAGCAGCAAAACTATATTTCAGTCAACATATTGAATTTTCAGGGAAACTTTCTGACCTTAGAAGTGTCTTTACACTATTATAACATGAACAACTTGAGATTCTGAATAAATTTAAGTTGTACCCAATCTACGGCAAGTTATAAATACTATTTCAGGGATATCATACATAACCCCCAAAACACTACAAGGTTTGTATTCAATCATTCTCTATCCAATTTCTTTTCATGAACCCATTCTTCCGTTTATGATTAGGAAAACACAGCAATGTTTTACAAAATGGTTGCTTATTTTTATTTTCCTTTAGATATTTAAACATTGTTTTTAAAACAGGAACAAAGTGAAAACCTTTCTTATATTTACAACAAGCAATATTGTTCAAACTGTAGTAAATCCAAATGGTTGAAGATTGAAATTGAGAAAAATTGTTTCAAATTTTCTAATGAGCTTTTCAACAGGCCCATATGAAATTTATTACAATGACTGGTATACTATCCCTTAATTTAGCAATTTATCAAACAATTAACAGTTTTTACCCAAAGGAAAAAGATTCCTGTATTTGTATCACCATCGTGTAACTAACAACACACTATATGTGTGGCAGTGTTGCAAAGATGTTGACCTTACTTTGGCACAAAGATAAAAGCAGTCGGAGGCATTACAGCAAAAACCTCAGTCTGTGCCAGTGTGCATAGATTAACTTTAAAACATATTATTCTTGTTTATAATGAAATTACTTATAAACACATCAATGGCTTTCCAAAAGGAGATATTTTTACAAGGCAACCAACATTGTCCCACTGGCAAATTTAGCCCTTATTTCACTCAGAGGTAAAGGTAATGGACATACTGTACACCTGGAAATGTTCGCCCGGGCCTAGTCCAAATTATTCCGACGTTTTATCGACTTTTTTCATATCGGTCTGTCATCGATTAACGTCAGAACTCCGTCCCTCTATAATATGCGGGAAATATGCGACCCGTGCCCGGAGCGCCCTTCAAACCGATATTTTAGAAACAAATCGTCACTTTCACACACATGTCGCACATGGATCGAAAGATCTATTCTTTTTGCACAAGATGAACATAAATTACATGCCTCAAACAACCAATACAATCACTAAAAACATTTTTTTTTTCAAACTTACTCCGTTTTACTCTAGTTTTTTGATAGCCCCGCCTTCTAATGCCACGTGACTAAAATCTCACCGGCTTACGTCATAATGTTGGGATATACCTACGGTAACGCGAGATCTCGTCAAGTCATGTGACATTGCTCATGGCCTAATTTCCATTAAAAACATGGTTTGGTATAGAAAACGTTGGAAAATACTTTTCGTAATGATCTTTGAAACATGTTATTGATACCACCTGGTACATAAATAATAGATCTTTCGATCCATGTGCGACATATGTGTGGAAGTGACGATTTGTTTCTAAAATATCAGTTTGAAGTGCGCTCTGGGCACCGGTCGCATATTTCCCGCCTATTATATAGAGGGCCGGAGTTCTGACGTTAATCGACGACAGAACGATATGAAAAAAGTTGATAAAACGTCAGAATAATTCGGACTAGCCCGGGCCCAGTTACAGAATTTACCATGACAATGATTATTAGTAAATAACATACCAAAGTAAAGTTATTATTTGTGAAGGGTAAAATTACCATGGAGCAAAGATGGATTTTATTAACAAAGGGTGAATATTCGACTCAGGTGAAAGCTTCCTGGCATACAGCTATTAGAGAAATTTGTGTTTGATGTCATATTAACAGCTATGGTCATTTAAGGACGTGCCAGACTACCAGGTTTTGGTGGTGGAGGAAAAGCAGAGTACCCAAAAATAACACTGACTTTCAGCCAGTAACTGCCCCTCAAAGGCCTTGATGAGCAAACCAGTGATGGAGGGCTAGTGATCGTAGATGGTCAGATGCCTTAAACACTCGACCCCTTTTTTTGCTAAAACACTTCAGATTTCCTTCTACATTCATGATTGAAGAATAATGCACTTTGTACAAGGAACAAACCTGGTCTTCCAAGTACGACATAAAAGTCCATGCCGTAGATTCCGATAGAAGGATCGTACTTGATCCCTAAATCAATGTGTTCCTGGATACCAAATCCAAAGTTTCCTGTGGCAGAGAAATTGTTCTTCCTCAACTCGTATTCCCTAACCTGAAACAAAATACAAAATTAATGTTATTATAGCTATTGAGAGAAATGCTGTTATGTCAAAATCATCGGAAATAGAGTAAGCTGTCCAAAACGCAGTTTAACTTTCTAGTCCCATGATTTTTTGTATTGAAATCTTACTCTTTGGAATAGTTCAATCAAACCTGTTAAAATAATATACAAAACAACATCCTCTTGATTAGACACATGGATCATAAATCCATAAGAGTTGCAGGTTATTTTTTTTTCACTTTCAAAGGGAAAAACGGATGAAGAAAACCCAACATAAATATATTTAATGTTCATTTTTATAGTCACTTCCAAAATCATTTGTATGGTGGCATGAACCAAATATAACTGTCCTCATTCTGGTTTGACTTGCATTTCTGATCTAATGCATACCTTCAAACCACGTTCCAAAATCTCCTCAGCTTTGGCTCCACGGACTGTGCAGTGCACAGCAATGGTTTCATTTCTTCTGATTCCAAAAGATCGTACAGTGTAGCGGGCTGAAATTTATCAAATTACACAATATATTGCAGGCAGACGCATAAATCATCCAATCCTTTCTTTCACTTCCACCGTCAGCCTGTAGCCACAAATGCTGGTGAATGTCAAAACATCCAAAGATTTAGCTACCATACAATATTGCAGAGACAAAAGGCAAATTTTGCAATATCTGGAGGTAAATTTCATCTGTAAAAAATATCCAAAAGGAAAACCTCAAGGTCAGGGCTACCATGTCCCGAGGCCATAGGAAATTTAAAATCTCAACAATATGTACAAGAACTAGACAAGGAAGAAAATCATAAATACAGGTTTATAATATATTAAAAATTGACGAAAAATTTAAATTGGCAAGCAAATACAAAATACTAGAGTGTCATAATTGCAGAGTACTCAGGCTTTTGGCCAGGATTTCAAACCTACCTGTCCAGAAAGCCGATATTAAAACCGTCTGTCCAAAATTAAGTAAAATAGTAAGGATATATAGTGAGAAGTTGCATGCCTAAATGGGACTTTTTTTTAAAGAAAACTGCCCATCCACAAGCAGGCAAACGAGTGGCTGAGCATGAGAGTACTATAATTTGTACTTCAGGTCACCATGAGATACGTATATACATACCCTTTGAGAAGACAGGCTGTTGACCAGTGAGCTGTTCCAACACTTTAGCTGCCCTAGTCAATCTGTCACCAGATTCCCCAACGCAGATGTTGAGACAGAGTTTGACGATGCGCAAGTTGCGCATGACATTGTTCTTCTCTCTTTCAGCAGCGCCCTGAAGGAAAAATATAATTTTAGAATATTTAAACACATACTGTTTCATAAATTGGGTAAATTTTTGTGGTAACAAAATCTGGATGTTTGACTGCAGATTAACCTTAAAGAAAAAGCCCATTTATGGGACAAAAGTTGGACTGATAAATATTGTTAAAACTATTATTCATCAAGATAAAGACTTTTCAGTTTATACTATAACAGGTTCATGACCCTGGCCATCGTTTCTTCAGGAATCCCTATGTACCTTATGCAAATGTGAATTAATGGTATTTTTCTTTTATTCGCAATAGGTATACCATTAGACCATTATAAATCCTACGGAAAATATTCCCACAATTACCAAATATGTCTATGCCACACATGGACATGTTTGGTATTTGTGGGAATATTTTCCGTAACAGGACACTTTGTATATTTGGACGAGACGTGCACTATTGGCAGTTTGCTGGCTATATAAAGATAATCCTATATATTGTTCCACATGTGACCACGTTCTTGAGACTTATGTTCTGTACGTGTATATTGGGAAAAAACAAAATGGCATGATGTTTACATTTTCCCCAAATAATATTATAAGACTTTTTTCCTGAAAATTCAAGTACGCTTTGAATATGTCGTCTTTCATGAACGTGCATGTATATGCCGTACACTAAGTTACAGATAAATATAACATGCTGCAACTTAAATGGGGACAAGTTTACCCAAATTCATCTTTTGGTACGCCGATCGACTTGTCTGTTAATCATGCGAACATGTAAATAAGTATGGCAATAATGAGATACGTATATCGAGTTTTCGGCATTAATGGGTATGGTATTTTATTTCGAAGGTGCAAAATTCATAATGAAAACAGCAACATCCTAATCGAAAATACGTCTCGCAACACGTACCCCACGGGGAAAATAAACCCCTTATCACTTCACTATATAGCAGGCCATTAAATATTCAGCTTAGTTGGTAGAGATAGTATCGAATACCACATATTTACATTTAGATTCTTAATTTGTATTTGCTATAAGGTGATGACAACCGATTTATTTTCAGTTTGCTCTCATGAGAAAAATTGACACTGACCGCCATGTTGGGATTTTACCGGAAAAGGAAGTACACATCTACGTTCTGAAGAAATATTCTACAATTTACAATTCCTGAAAATAATCAAACATCCTAAACATTTTTTTTCATTTTGAATAATAAGACTAACTTGAAAGAAATGTTTTTCTTATAATAGTCTTCCCCCTCTTTTTTTGCGGTAATCGTTACCGGAAGCTTATCAAAATATTGTCACGTGATTTGCAAGACTCCGCATAGCAACTAACACAACTTCCTGTCACGGCTCTCTTCTCGTATATTTCTCGACAAAAAGGATAAAAAAAATGAGTTCCAGCGGAGAAGAGGAAGAAGCAGGGCCAAATGCTGATTCTAATGATCCAGATGAGCGTGTTGCAGCTCGAAGAATTCGTATTACGAGACGTGTTGAGGCAGCAAAACGGTAATGTTATTGTCCAATGACCTGNTCCTACCATGTATCCATTTCTATAACATGGACAAGCACGATAAAATCACCGTTCTTCCGATGGTATAAAAGTGTGACGAAATTTTGGCGCGGCGCGAAAATTCAATTGGAGTTATCTCCCCTTAGCTTGGGCATAGCTACTGATGTCAAAACAATACAGTACCATGCTTGCATATTTTCAGCATACTATGTATCTGGTTACTGAAAATTTGCTTACTGCTAAGAATAAGTCTACAAGGACAGTAAGTGCGTATCTATTTAATTTTAATTCCATTCGTAGATCTGTAGCAGATCAAGGGTATGCATCTGTAGCACAACAGTCAACACCTGTACCAGGTCTGTAACAGACATGATGGAATCCTTATGTCACCCTGGTAAAATACAAGCCGCTTCCTACCTTCTCGGCAAGGGAGAATTTCTCTTTAGCTCATTCGGTAGAGCATATATATAAGACTAGTAAACCAGAGGTCCCGGGTTCGACTCCTAGCGGAGACATAAACAAAATAATGACCTTTAAATTTGTTACGTTGGCGCCCACATAGGGACCCGGGTAATATTGACAAAAATACTCAGCGATACTTGCAAGGGAATCGCTATGACCCCTGAAAAACTTGGGATGAGTTCTTTCTTAGAGGGGGTGTATGTCACCCTGGTAAAATACTAGCCGCTTCCTGCCGTCTCGGCTAGGGAGAATTTCTCTTTAGCTCATTCCGCAGAGCCTAAGACTAGTAAACCAGAGGTCCCGGGTTCGACTCCTAGCGGAGGTATTTAAAAAATAATGACCTCTGTTACACTTATATCATGATATTGGTGTATTGATAGAAAAGGCTAGTACCTGTGCCTTGGCAAACTACACGATTCATAGGAAATATGTCAGATTTGTTCTTTTCTACAAAATTATTCATCAGCTAGTTGCTTTTCTATCTGATATCCTGGTTCACTTGCTTAAGCTACAATCCGTTTACTCAGATACCTTTACTCTTTTCTTCCCATTCAAAATTATCAAAAGTGTGATTATACCGATCAAACCGATCATACCAACTCCTGTCCTCCCGCAGTGACACAAGGAAAATGTCCTTCTTTCCTAGGACAGTGCGTGATTGGAATGCCCTACCACCAGACATCGTGGATATAGACACACCTGAAGCCTTTAAGGCCAGGATTGTGTCATTGTAGACCATGGTCTCAACTGTAAATTAGTTTTAACTGTACATGCAAATATCTAATATTAAGTCCCTAGTCCCCCAAAATTTTCCTGGGCTTGCCGCACCTTGGTTATAAATATTACATGATCTTCATCATGGTGAAGGAGGCAATTTTATATAACAGAAATAGAAAAGGCATTCTCTACCTGCCTCTTGTGTCTCGGCCAACACTGTCACTCAGGACGGCTTTCTATCAGCCATCCCAGTATGCACTCTCCAAACCATCCTGTAAGCTCTAGCTGTGTATACATACATATTTTTATAAACCAAAGTTTTATTCCGCAGCTTTTAACCAGCTTATGACATTAAAACTGCAACTTTAAAATTTGAACTGCGGGCTCCACTTAGTCTTGCATCTGCTGCCTTTCAGGTATAGACAACACTGCTTGACCCATACTCAGAGTGGAGTGCCCAACCTATTCACCCTTCTATACAATTAACTCATATAAAGTTGGCTCTACATTTTTACTTAAATTCTACTAAACAATCAGTTTTAGATTTTTTATCAGTCATTGCCTCTGTTCATACATAGGCTACACTATACATGACCAATGTACATCTTGTGTTGCAATTTATCAAATCGCTATATGCATAACTGTATTTATCATATGAATACTATGTTATGCAGTGTCATAAAGCCATCACATAAACTATGTTTATGTAACGTGTGTAATATCACTCCGGAAATGACGTCACAATCGAATAGGAACAATCAATGTGACGTCACATCATCGTGAAGTGATGCAATTTTCATTGTTCAGAGGCGGCCAAGTGCAAAATATTCGTTTCAGATCACAATTATACAGTTTACTTTTTATTATAGGATTAAAAGAATCTGTCATCCGTTTCCCTTCTTATGAGATTTATGATATTCGTTTTGAATTTTTCATGTTTGCGAGCCTCTGCAAAACTTGTATCATAAATCTAATATTAAGGGCAACTTATTACAGATCCTCTATGTATAGCTGTACCAATCAATAGCTGTACCAATCAATAGCTGTACCAATCAATAGCTGTACCAATCAATAGCTGTACCAATCAGCTAACACCATACATTGTGTAATTTCAATGATGAATGTGTATAAGATATCTGTCTTTTCTATCCAGGGCTGAACTTGGTGAGGACCCCAATGAGAAGAAGGAGGTTAAGGAGGAGCTGAGTAAGAGCAGGAAACAGATTGAACAGAGTCGACTGCTGCTGTCTAAACTGAACCAGGATGCGTTTGAGCTTGTCACGAACATCCGCGTGGCTGGTGATGCTAGAGAGGCAGCACGGAGAACCGAGGAGGAAGAGGCCAAGAGACTGAGGTAATACACAGTTCGCTCTTACTTTAAAGTCTTAAACATTTTACCCTATAATGATACAGCACATAGTCAGACAGTGGTGAAACAAACCCTATGTTTTGTGACAAAGTGACCATCAGTAAGGAAGTTCTTTGTATAAATTCATTTCATCTTTATTGTTCACTTTTGTCTAATGAATGATTTTGAGAAAGAGAATGACTGGTACGTATTATGTAAACTATGAAATTATAAATAATGTAATGAAAATACATTTTTTTTAACAGGAAGGAAAGACTGGAACAAGAAGCTAAAACAGGGGCCGAGAAGTTTGAAGAGGTAGGTTTAATCAAAGCGAGGGGTTTACAATTTTCTACTAAGAGTACCGGTACTAGTCTGCAAATATATTTTGAAAAACTCTTCTAGCTCACTTATATTACCGGTATATTTGTATTCATAGGTGATTGTAAAAATTTCTGTTAGTCTGACATAAAATCTACTTTCCCCAGCATCTGTTGGGCCATTGGAATTGTACACCCCTGAAATGTTTATAATAATGTACAATTACATACAGATGTATTGTACCAGGAAAGTAAAAAACATAAAATATTCATATTTGGAAGATAAACTTGTGATTTTCCTTCATTGTAACTTTCAACAGCATGGTGCAAGTGATCTGTATATACATGTATACATGTCTTTGAAGTATCTAAAGCTAATTACAGCAAAATACAATATACGAAAAATATTTTGCAAGACACAAAAGTTTTTGAAACAGTTCAATACCCCAATTCTTGTTTTATATTTCAGATCACAAAGAAATGGGAGTCAGCATTACAGAAAGAGATTCCTCAAGCTTTACATCAGGTAAAACAAACAGTGAATTCTCAAAACAGTTCAGAAAAATCAAACTTATTTATTCTCCATCAATTTTATAATAACTATATGCAATATATGCATATATGCATTTGGAAAACATATCTAAAAAATTGGAAGTCTGTAAATATTTAGAAACAATTGTTATTTGTTTTGAAAGAACTAATTGGTGCTCTTCTGTCAATTTTACCTACAAGGTTGTCGTATTTAAAAATAATTTTCAAAATATACATTTAAATGAAGATAATTGCATTGTTTGTAAATATAATATTAAACTTGAAACCATTTTGATTATTCTCTTTCAGTAGACATGTGAGTGAGTTGTATAAAACCATATTCCTTTAGTGAAAATAAGCTGCCTGATGTGTGTTTGTGTTTTACCATGTCCTTTTGTATTCTAGATGCTTCGTCAGCAGAAACAGAACTGTGACACCATAGTTGGTGACAAAAATAAGCTGATCAATGACTTCCAACAGGTAATTACTATGCAGCTTTCGTTTATAAATTGATTTAGAAAATTTCTCCCGAACTCTACTGGAGGAATCTTATTTAGCATTTTCAGTAATATTTTCCCCGTCCAAATTAACTAACCCAAGCAAGGCTTATACAATACTGAAAGTTTTTGATACAGGACCCAAAGCTCCTCTTCATCAGACTTAGGATTATTCTGAATGACTGAAAGGAAAAGATCATGAAAAAAGCATTATGTAAAAAAATCAATTCATTAATTAACTCAGAATTTTTAGATAATGATAAATATTTGCTTGCTAATATATTGAACTGAATTTTAATTCAACCATTGACAATTTTGCTGTCAATCATCAGGAGCTGAAAATAAAGGATGACCAGTATGTGAAAGACCTGAAGAAACAAGCAGAGGATGTGGACCTGATGATAGAGAGAATGGAGGAACAGATGAAGAAAGTCACCAAAGCTGCGCGTAAACAGCTCAACGAGACGGAGGTCAGTAACTATTAGGGAGTTTTCTGTCCGGGTCTTATTTTCAGGACTGGGAATGTTAATTTTTTATTTCTCTCAATTTTGAATTGGCATTGTTTTGCATATAAAGATATCTAGTACTTGCCTGCAATCAGGTTTGAAAATAATTTACTGGTCTCACCTATACATAATAAATATTTACTGGTCTCACCTATACATAATAAATATTTACTGGTCTCACCTATACATAATAAATATTTACTGGTCTCACCTATACATAATAAATATTTACTGGTCTCACCTATACATAATAAATATTTACTGGTCTCACCTATACATAATAAATATTTACTGGTCTCACCTATACATAATAAATATTTACTGGTCTCACCTATACATAATAAATATTTACTGGTCTCACCTATACATAATAAATATTGAAAATTTTGATGTAGCCCTTCTATGAAAACATAAACAAGCGCCAGGCCATACCATAGGGCTTGTAAAAGTGTATGTACAAGCCCCAATAATATTGAAATGAGCGTTCAAATGAAATATCTAAACAGTACGATTTCTTTGACAGATGGCGTTCAACGCGGAGAGAAATGAACTGTTGGATTCACACAAGAAGAAATGGGAGGAGAGAATGGAGCATCGTCGCCAGAAGGAAATTGATTACATGAAGGCCCGTGAGAAACGCGTCGAGGATTACGAACAGCAGATCCACACGATACGAGTTCAGGATGCCGAGGAGTATAATATGATCAAAATTCGCCTGGAAACAGATGTACAGGTAAAGTATGACTTTGATTAATTCCGAGGCAATAACAACATTAAAAAAAACACAGGTCGGTCCTCCAGACAGGTATTTTTTCAAAAGCATTTGCCTGTAGTTCAAATACATACTGGTTCAGAATCAAACAAAAGAACACCAACATACTGTACACTAATTATAAAGTTTGATGTTGATAAACACTATAATGTTTCCCCAAACAATACTGAGTAGTTTCTTTATAAACTAGAATTCATGCTTATATTTTCTTTAGTTTCTGTAGGAAAGTTTCAAAGGAGGTAGATTAGGTCCTGTGTTACGTAGCACAAGTACCTTTGTGTTACATAGCACGAGTACCTTTGTGATACGTAGCACGAGTACCTTTGTGATACGCAGCACGAGTACCTTTGTGTTACGTAGCACGAGTACCTTTGTGATACGTAGCACGAGTACCTTTGTGTTACGTAGCACGAGTACCTTTGTGTTACTTAGCACGAGTACCTTTGTGATACGTAGCACGGGTACCTTTGTGATACGTAGCACCAGTACCTTTGTGATACGTAGCACGAGTACCTTTGTGATACGTAGCACGGGTCCCTTTGTGATACGTAGCACAAGTACCTTTGTGTTACGTAGCACGAGTACCTTTGTCATACGTAGCACGAGTACCTTTGTGTTACGTAGCACGAGTACCTTTGTGATACGTAGCACGGGTACCTTTGAAGATTTAAATTACTTTGAAACTTTATTCACCTACTAAGTGGCATCAAAGCACAGTTATATTTAACATCACAAATAAAATCTGTGGATTTTTTTTATACAGGGACTACTTCAGGCTTCAGTAGATCTGATTGGATAAATTATTGAATGATCAAGATATTTAATTTTATAATTTTATTTAACCCTTTCACCACTGTAGACCATAATGGACTCGTCCAGATCAATGTATGGTAAAGTCTACTGAAGTTACATAGGGGTGAATGGGTTAAGCACAGACTACACTGAAACATGTTAGTGCATTGATAAATAAGCACATCCATAATATATATCATAAAAACACTATACACTATACATGTAGAAACTGCAGTAAGAGCAATTTAGCTCACTTGTTTAAGAGCAATTGAAATGCACTAAAATAAGATTTACTGCAAAAATATGTGTATACATCATGTACTTGTAGTTTGTAGTTATTTACTTATCACTGCAGATCCTTGAGCAACAGTTACAGCAAATGAAAGCCACATATCAACTTAACCAGGAAAAACTGGAATACAACTTTCAAGTTCTGAAGAAAAGAGATGATGAAAACACGATCACTAGATCACAGCAGAAACGAAAGATTACGCGGTGGGTAGTTCTAGGATTCATCTTGTAGTAATATTTTCGTTATTTTTTTTCTCATTCTCATGTACTGGTACACTTTAAAATAATTATTCTTGAAGCAAATCTAAAAGTTATTGAAATACATCAGAAATTCGATCATTTAGATTTTCAACATGTTAGTAAAGTCTTTCAATGATCCAAAGAAGTCACAGAACATGTTTTAGCATAGATTTATATAGATAAAAATCTATTTAGATAAAATCTGTTCAAAATACGCAAGGTGTATAACCAATATTTCAAATATAATTTGCTTCCATGCAATTATGACAATGTAATAGAAGGTCCTTTTTATTTTACAGGTTACAAGATGTTTTGAATAGCCTTCGCATCAAACTGGCAAAACAGGAGAAACAGTTCAAGTAAGGCATTCTTAGTGTTCTTAGTAGTAAAATGATAAATTAGGAACCACACTGGTTTCAGTATCTCTATCACAGTAGTGCAGGTTATAACAAATTACTTTTTCACCAGAAATTTTTTACTGATAAATATACATTTGGTTTGCTATAGGGATGAAAACTCATCGCTGACAGAGGACTATAAGAGAATCACAGAACAGTTCCGAGATCTCCAGAGGAAGTCTAGGTGAGGCATTCATCTGATATCTTCTTACAAATATATGATATACATACCAGGAACACATCATTTTGTTAAGGACAAAAAATCTGAAATCCATTTAGGTCATGTATATCAACAAATAAGGTGGTAATAACTGATGCGTTTTGAGGATTTTTAACCATCGTTGCTCTGGCAAAGTCACCGTTATTATTTATAGAAAATCTTTGTAATTTCTCCAGCAACATTATCCTTTCTTCCTCAGAAAACCTCATTGTTTCCTTAAAATTTCTGAATAAAGTAATTTCTTCATAAGTGTATCTCCAGTCCATACAACCAGCATCTTAATGAAGACAAACACACAGGCTCATTAGCTCTAAATAGATCCAGCTACTGTCTTCATCTAAGGTCACACTCTTGAAGGTCAGAAGTAAAATTAATATCTGTGTTGCATTATCCCAACCTAGAAGAAATATTATACACAGGTATATTACCAAAAGATTGTCAACTATTACAGGTTGAGATTTCTCTGTCATACTCATGGTCGAGGAAGATTCTATTATTTATTTATCCAACATAATTTTGATCTATTAGTATTAATATCTTACTCTCTGACCATCAGACATTTCATGGCTGCTGATAACAAGAAATTCCACGACGTGTGGTGTATGAACGAGGAAGAGTGTAAGGAGCTTGTGAACGCGACTCTAGAAGCGGACCGCATCACCCATCAGCATCAGCTTGGTCTGGTCTATCAGACACCAGATATGTATGTTTAAAACCAACCACAGCCTTGTTTTCTCTAGAATAGGAGTAGTATGTTTCTATATCAGGAGGTGATATAATTACCTAAATATGGTCCAGACTTCAGTCTCCAGATGTGTTCAAGCAGTTTTAACAAATTATTTTTCATTCAATAGAAATTTGCATTTGAGATGTATTTCACAAAAAATGTCAAACTAGGAATTTGAAATTATGACTGGCTTTAAATTCCTATCAACAGTACATATGTACTATGAAATGATTTCTTTTTGTTTTGCTTTATTTCATAGTTTACACAAAATGTCATTATTTTGTGAGGACAGTTTTCCCCTTCATTTGAACATGATTTTACTGCAATTTTTCCTCTTCCTTAAAGCTGTGTGATACGTCACCTGCACCAAATATATTAAATGATGAACTGTATGTCATTGACATGTATGATAAACTAATGGTTTGGTTATCGACACTGATTTAATACCTTGTCATGTTTACATAGTATTTTAGTCATACTTCTAATTCATAACTTTTTGGGGGGAGAAAAAAGAGGAAATGTAACATGTGGTTGCTTCAAAAAAAGATTTCTAATAACCCTCAATATTTTGAATCAACATCAATAAATGTTTTAAAACAGTACTTAATTTGTTTATGATCCACAGAATTTTCCTAGACAATACTGGTCCCATCGTCAGTGAAGCCACAAAGAGGAAAGGGGTCTCGGCTCAACAGATTATACAGGAAGTGATGTCACAAACAGGTGAGACGATATATGACTTTCTGTCTGTCTTAAATTTTAAAATGTCAGACCAATACGAGATCATATTTTTTTTTAACTCCAAGAACTTTCTTAACAAACAAGGGAACTCTTTAGTTCCACATTTCCTCAATTCATCAGTGTTTCAAGCCTAAAAGTGATGTCATAATATGAGAAATATGCGAGTCTGTGGACCTGACTTAGATTTCTACACCCTTGTGTAGAATTTCTACATTTCCAACACCAGAAGGATAGTTGTAGCTATTTTAAAAGATGGATGGCAAGGTAGATAAGAACGGTGATGTCAAATTGCATCATAAGTCACATCTTTAGCATAGTTGGGGTCTCATGCATACAATTTAATTTACATTTTATATGGCAATAACTAAAACACTATCTGATGATTGTATTTAAACTTGCTATCCGGGTCCCAGATGATCAGGCTAGTTAGCTTAATCACTTGTTAACTTAAATATGTTTAAACCTGGGGTTAAGCTGATCATGCTTTGACTAACATTAAATGAACCACTAATAGATTTCTTAGGTTAAAATAAGAGAAGTTAAAAAAATATTTAACAGAACTTGGACCTTGATTTCTTCCTATATTTACCTCTTACCTTCCCCACAGGGAGCCACAACACTGCAGCGGAAGACGAGGAGGACGAAGAGGACGAAGAGGATATGGATGAAAATGCAGACGGAAGCATCCCTCCAGACCACCAACCAGTCAAGAGCACACTTCTGTCCAAAATCAACGCCAACATCATCAAGCTTATCCTGGAGCTACTGTGTGACGAGTCGGTAGGTACAGCCAGTCTTTTGTGTGACGAGTCGGTAGGTACAGCCAGTCTTCTGTGTGACGAGTCGGTAGTACAGCCAGTCTTCTGTGTGACGAGGCGGTAGGTACAGATAGTCTTCTGTGTGACGAGTTGGTAGGTACAGCCAGTCTTCTGTGTGACGAGTCTGTAGGTACAGCCAGTCTTCTGTGTGACGAGTCGGTAGGTACAGCCAGTCTCCAATCAGAGGTTACAGTTACAAAGCCTGTTTCAGGTCAAAGGTTACATACACAGCATCTCTGGTCAAAGTTCATGCAGTCAGAATGGTTAATCAAACAGAGACTTTATTTTATAAGAAGAAATAATTTGAGCTTCCATCATGGGTTATTTCTAATGTTAATCACTAAACTTCCACATGTTGTCATTGACAGGGATTCTTGGTCGAGTCCAAGCTAAACAAGCTGCTAGCTCCACTGGAAAAGGATGAGCGATCCCTGATGAAGCTCGATGCAATATTTGGTGTAAGTATTAATCAGGAAAATTTCACAACTTTAATATGGCTTTTGGTTCCTTCATAAGAAAGTATCTGTTTAAATCATTCACCCCTGAAATTTCATAATGAACTATTCCAACCTTTGAATTCGAAGAGTTCAAATGTGTCTTCAGGGGTTAATGAGTTGACCAGTGTTGTTATTATACAACCCCCTACACAGTTACAGGGGACATTTGATCTGTTGTCCATCTGTTGACAATATGTGATATTTAATCCCTTTAAATTTGTCCTTAAAAAAATGTTTCATTTTAGAGGTAAAAGAAATAAACACTACTGTTTTGCTGTATCATATCAACCTTGGGATAATATTTTGTGATATCCCAGTCTCAATAAGAAGAATCTTAAACTATCCACAGTTTGTTAGGTCCTGTGATGTATACTACATGTTTAGGTGAGTTGACCCCCGTACGTTTATCCCCCCACAGGCTCTGGGTATTTCATTTTAGAGGTAAAAGAAATAAACACTACTGTTTTGCTGTATCATATCAACCTTTGGATAATATTTTGTGATATCCCAGTCTCAATAACAAGAATCTTAAACTATCCACAGTTTGTTAGGTCTTGTGATGAATACTACATGTTTAGATGAGTTAACCCCCGTACGTTTATCCCCTGACAGGCTCTGGGTATAGACACAGAACCCTAAACTATCCACAGTTCGTTAGGTCCTGTGATGTATACTACCATGTTTAGATGGGTTGACCCCCGTATGTTTATCCCCTGACAGGCTCTGGGTATAGACACAGAATATTTAACTATCCACAGTTTGTTAGGTCCTGTGATGTATATTACATGTTTAGATGAGTTGACCCCCGTACGTTTATCCCCAGACAGGCTCTGGGTATAGACACAGAATCTTAAACTATCAGAGGTAAAAGAAATAAACACTACTGTTTTGCTGTATCATATCAACCTTGGGATAATATTTTGTGGTATCCCAGTCTCAATAAGAAGAATCTTAAACTATCCACAGTTTGTTAGATCCTGTGATGTATACTACATGTTTAGATGAGGTGACCCCCGTACGTTTATCCCCTGACAGGCTTTGGGTATAGAAACAGAATATTTAACTTTCCACAGTTTGTTAGGTCCTGTGAGGTATACTACATGTTTAGATGAGTTGACCCCCTTACATTTATCCCCTGACAGGCTCTGGGTATAGACACAGAATCTTAAACTATCCACAGTTGGTTAGGTCCTGTGATGTATACTACCATGTTTAGCTGAGTTGACCCCCGGACGTTTATCCGCAGACAGGCTCTGGGAATAGACACAGAATCTTAAACTATCCACAGTTTGTTAGGTCCTGTGCTGAATTCTACATGTTTAGATGAGTTGCCCCCCGTACGTTTATCCCCTGACAGGCTCTGGGTATAGACACAGAACCCTAAACTATCCACAGTTCGTTAGGTCCTGTGATGTATACTACCATGTTTAGATGAGTTGACCCCCGTACGTTTATCCCCCCAAAGGCTCTGGGTATAGACACAGAATATTTAACTATCCACAGTTTGTTAGGTCCTGTGATGAATACTGATATCCCAGTCTCAATAAGAAGAATCTTAACCTATCCACAGTTTGTTAGGTCCTGTGATGTATATTACATGTTTAGATGAGTTGACCCCCGTACGTTTATCCCCAGACAGGCTCTGGTATAGACACAGAATCTTAAACTATGCATAGTTTGTTAGGTCCTGTGATGTATACTACCATGTTTAGATGAGTTGACCCCCGTACGTTTATCCCCAGACAGGCTCTGGTATAGACACAGAATCTTAAACTATGCATAGTTTGTTAGGTCCTGTGATGTATACTACCATGTTTGGATGAGTTGACCCCCGTACGTTTATCCCCCCAAAGGCTCTGGGTATAGACACAGAATATTTAACTATCCACAGTTTGTTAGGTCCTGTGATGTCAGTTTGTTAGGTCCTGTGATGTATACTACATGTTTAGGTGAGTTGACCCCCGTACGTTTATCCCCCCACAGGCTCTGGGAATAGACACAGAATCTTAAACTATCCACAGTTGGTTAGGTCCTGTGATGTATACTACCATGTTTCCTTAAAAAAATGTTTCATTTTAGAGGTAAAAGAAATAAACACTACTGTTTTGCTGTATCATATCAACCTTTGGATAATATTTTGTGATATCCCAGTCTCAATAAGAAGAATCTTAACCTATCCACAGTTTGTTAGGTCCTGTGATGTATACTAGTCTCAATAAGAAGAATCTTAAACTATCCACAGTTTGTTAGATCCTGTGATGTATACTACATGTTTAGATGAGTTGACTCCCATTTGTTTATCCCCTGACAGGCTCTGGGGATAGACACAGAATCTTAAACTATCCACAGTTTGTTAGGACCTGTGATGTATACTACATGTTTAGATGAGTTGACCCCCATTTGTTTATCCCCTGTTATCCCCTGACAGGCGCTGGGTATAGACACAGAATCTTAAACTATCCACAGTTGGTTAGGTCCTGTGATGTATACTACCATGTTTAGATGAGTTGACCCCCGTACGGTTATCCCCTGACAGGCTCTGGGTATAGACACAGAATCTTAAACTATCAGAGGTAAAAGAAATAAACACTACTGTTTTGCTGTATCATATCAACCTTGGGATAATATTTTGTGGTATCCCAGTCTCAATAAGAAGAATCTTAAACTATCCACAGTTTGTTAGATCCTGTGATGTATACTACATGTTTAGATGAGTTGACCCCCATTTGTTTATCCCCTGACAGGCTCTGGGTATAGACACAGAGGAAGATGTCCACCTTCTAGCCAGTTACTTCATGCACATCAAAGGCCGCAAACAGGCACAGGACGAAGAGGTAGGTGTGAATACTTCAAATATTGTTACATTTAGTAGGACTCTATCGGAAATAATTACAAGTTTATATCTAGGAAACATTTTATATAGTAGTGGAAAGTGGTCAGCCAGCGGATTCTTAGTCTGGGTATTTTGGTTTCAAAAAGCAATTTAGTCGTTCTAGATACTATTCCAATTGTTCCTGATTAAACAGACATGCATTTTATTTTATTTTTCAGAAGGAGACTGTCATGGATGAACCGTCTCAGACCGAAATGAGTGGAGAGGTATGTGTGTAGTAGCTATGGGGAGATAGATCACTTGTAGTGTTGGTAACAGTAGACTGTTTGTAATGTTACGCTGAAGATTCCCCTGATTTGTAATATAACCTGCAACGTTTGTAATGTCAGAAAAAATTCTTGCATGGTTGGTAATATTTATGCAAAAAAATTACCTCCATATCATTCTGATAACATTAACATAATTCTGTTTTCTTTAAATTTTGCAATAACATCAAGACCTTATAAAAGTCTGTCAGTATAATTTTCATGCAATTAATTGTTCTTCTTCAACCAAGATGGATGATATTGACGAGGAAATCCGGAAGCTCACTGGAAAAGAGGGAGATTTGGATTCTAATAAGAGTGAGACAGTAGAACTGATCCACCCCAATGAGGTACTGAAGGCTCTCAGGGCGTTTGTGGAGGAAAACAGACAACCCACCAAGTAAGCTTCCTAGTCTCAGAGTATATACATGTAGTCCTAAAACTTCATATTTTCTAAACTCAACAAGTATTCTTCCTCATCTCAGAATGTATGTAATCCCAAAACCTACAAATTATGATTCTCTTAACCGCCCCAAGTATCCTACCTAGTTTCAGAATAATCAATATATACATGTAGTACTAAAACTTCAAAATCCTCCAAACCAGCTGAGGTCACTTCCTCATCACAGAACGTATAAGTCCTACCCTTACAAATCCCCTTAAACCACCATGTAAGCTTCTTTTTTTTTTTAAATAAATACCTTGATCATTATAACAATATTGTGTTCATGTTAAATATTTTCGTTCTACTTTACTTGAGAGAACTAAGATACCAAGGCTTGTATTCGAAAAACCAAACATATTATGTCAGTCATAGACTTGTGTGTTCCTAACTTAATGATATTACTTGCAGGGAGAAAGGAAAGCAGTCCCAGTTTAAGATTGTCTCCCTTGAGGAGCGGGACAGTTCAGATGATTCAGACTACTGGGCAAAGTATCCTTCCCTAATCTCAACGAACAAAGAGCGACTCTGGGACGCCTTACTGGAGGGGCTGGAAAAATACAGGTACAAAAGCAATCTTAATCCTTTTACCCCTATTTAACTTTAGTAGACTCTACCATGCATTGATCTGGAGGAGTTCATTATGGTCTACAGTGGTGAAAGGGTTAAACATAGAAATTACACAATGTCAAATGCAGAAGGAAATGTTTAAATGATATTTGAACTTGAAGCCAGGTTTCCTTTTGTATCTCTTAAAACTGGCCTTTCAAAATTTCTTCCACTCATGTTTTAAAATTTTATGAATCATTTTACTCTCCTCCGCTAAATTAATTTCACATTACAGGAGCATAGTCAACAACGTGTGAATTGGTACCTGGATATGCTTACTTAGACAGTCAAATAAAACTTTTTAAATATTATTAATGCAGAGATGAAATATCTGTAGATATCTTATAATTGAATACTGAAAGTTTGATTTAATGACGGGATTAATCACTATCGGTTAGGATCATGATTTTAAAGGAAATTGATACCGTTAAAAAAAAGTGGTATTAAACGTGGGCGATTTGTTTACACAGCGAGACGCTGACGAGTCGGTCGACGCTTATCAATGAGACAGATGCCCTGCGCCAACAGAACGCAGAGCTGAGAATGTTACTTCATCAATATGTCAACTCTAAGGTATTAAGCGTTTATATCGGGGATAACATCAGTCATATAAACATGTCTTTATAATAGTATTCTGTTTGAAGATATTTATTCTGAGTTTAGGTTTTCACATTAAAAGTATTTTTTTTTTTTATGGAATTCAATTTTTGGTAATTTTTTAGTAACTATCAAAGAATGAGTCTTTTCACAAGCATTTAATACTTGTGTGAAGATTTTATAAATTAGCATTACAATGGATGTGATTCTATTGAAACAGTTTCTAATCTAAAATGCGTTTGTTACCTGTGGAAGCAGTTCTAAAATAATTTATATAATGTGAAATGAATTTATTTATCTTTCTATTCAAACAATTTTCGACATATTATTTGTAAATTCTGAAATGGTAATGCTTATAATTCTAAATTTAAAAAATAATATTTGTAATTTGTGAAATTCTGTTTATCTCTCTAATGAAACATTTCTAACATAATATTTTGTACATTTTACAGGTGAATGCAGAGCTAGAAATTCCACCCACACGAGTTCTTCAGTTAGAAATGAACCCATCGATGCAGAAGTAGATCAAGGGACAATCAGTAATATCTACAGTGAGAAAGGCAGCGATAAGTGTGCCCATTTACTGAAACCTTCGGCTGCTGAATAGGAGTTGTGATGAGATTAAACCATTCAATGGGATCGATACATCTTAAACAGAATCTGGAATGTGAAAGAAATTTCAAAAAGTGTCCCAAACAACTAAAATAGATTGTCATCAAAGACCTTTAAGGTATCATAACAAAGCTTGCTCATTGGCCATATTTTATTTTGATGAAAAATATATATCCCATTGTGTTGCTTTGGAGATTAGCGATGAAATTTCATATAAAAAATTCAAAGAAGCAAAAATGGAATGGTTGTATTTCCTGGACATACTAAGAACCTGTGAGGCTGGACTGTGATATGACATACTTTTACATTGTTTCATATGTATGATAAGTATGTACATTTTTAACATTATTTATGTAAATTGTACTTGTAAGTTCATGAATATGTACTATAATTGTAAATAAATATGTGAATATCTAATTTATTGAGCAACTTGAAACGTTTTTATTTCAAATGAAATTGTCGACTGCATGATCCTTTATCGAGGATATATATATAACAGTGTCTTCAGTAATACCAAATATATTTCACGAGTGTGGGTAATATTTTGATATCTTTCATGAGTGTGCAGCATTAAATCACGATGTTCTGAATCAGCCAAAGGATTGATCCATGGTGTCATGTGGGGAAAGCTGTATAGTATTTTGTTTATAACATTTCTAAATACTGAACTCAATCTAATTTTCCTCCAAACAGTGAGAGATTGATAAGACAGAAATGTGCATGTTGCTTTGGTGTCTCGTGTATGTAGGCTACTAAACCAGTTAATTGAAGCTGGAGTTTTGGGTAAACAGTAAAATTTCTTCTTTCAAAAAAAGGTGAAAATCAGTAAAACTTTTGTATCAAACATCAAGACACGAGGTAAATCATGGTTTTGATGAATAATTACTGTCAGCACGCATTATTACAGGTGTAATTTTTAGATATAATATCAAAACAAAATACTTTTTCTTAATATAGATATTGCACCTTTATTTCAATCAAAAATTAACAAATAAAATTGTACTGAACATAATTATGCCAAAAATGTAAATACTAAACATAATTATGCCAAAAAATCAAATATGAAAAGATATTATTTCTGTTGGTCATCTCGTAAAAAATCATTGTACAACACATTATGTTTGGTCCCTAAACCGGGGTGTGTTCTTGGCTGGTAAAATTGTTCATTAAAAGAAGACGCCATACTATTGGCTGGAGAAGAATACTCTGCATTGTGAGATGAATTATGATTGGCTGGTGAGGAATACTCCATGCTGTAAGAAGCCGTCCCGCTGGAAGATTTATCCTCTCCGCTGTAAGGAGGTTTTGATGATGTGGTTTCTGTGTCGTATGAGGAGTGCATGTTGGTGGATGACTCGGTTTCTATGATGCTCGATGTTGTTGAGGGAAGCATGGGATCTTCACACACAAAGCCTGCAAGCTGATTGACAGCTAGCCTACAGAAAGAGGAGAAAATGTCAGAAACAGACTTAGTATGTTCAGAATTTTGTGCTGATATAGTATAAATATAACAAGAGTACCACAGGGCACACATTATACACCCGTCCCAAGCCAAACTGACATACCACACTTTAAATCCTTTCGATACATTCTTGTATCACAATGTATGAAAATGTAACAAGAAGAAACTACATTTGTACTTTATTACTCATTTGACCTCAGTGACTTTCAATGTAAGTCAAGGTCGATTTATTGAACAAACTTGATATCCCTTCACAGCAGGAAGTGGCAAGCCAAATATCATTAAGGTAATATAGGCCTCTAGAATCCTAAGGGGTCAGTTGAACATTTTAACACATCTGACCCCCGCAGTCATCAAAGCTGGTTCGAACATATCTGAAAGTTCTTCACTAAATCATGTTATTCCATGCATCATGGGTCAATAGAAGAATTTGTTTGTCAATTTTCAGTAACTATGACGTAAGTGATGTTGAAAGTGGGTCAAGATGATTTGATAGACACAATGATAGCTCTTAGAGTATTCTATAGTCCAACTATCATAACTCTATGCGCCCTAATTCCTTTGATGTTGTTTAAAGTTGATTATAAATCAGACAAGACTTTGAACGTGGGCCATTCTTTTTTACAAATTTAAATCTTTTAGTCTTTCTCTCCACAGCATGCTATAGGTGACAGTAGGTTAGGGCTGCAACATTAACATGACGATACGATACATATCACGATACTGTTGTTACGATACGATACATATCACGATACTGTGGTTACGATACGATACATTATCACGATACTGTTGTTACGATACGATACATATCACGATCCTGTGGTTACGATACAATACATATCACGATACTGTGGTTACGATACGATACATTATCACGATACTGTTGTTACGATACGATACATATCACGATCCTGTGGTTACGATACGATACATTATCACGATACTGTTGTTACGATACGATACATATCACGATCCTGTGGTTACGATACAATACATATCACGATACTGTGTTTACGATATGATACATATCACGATACTGTGGTTACGATACGATACATATAACGATACTGTGGTTACAATTCAATACATATCATGATAATGTGGTTACGATACATATCACGATAATGTGGTTACGATACGATACATATCACGATACGATACATATCACGATACTGTGGTTACGATACGATACATATCACGATACTGTGGTTACGATACAAAACATATCACGATGCTGTGGTTACGATACGATACATATCACGATACTGTGGTTACGATAAGAGAAAAAATATGCTGCAAATTTTTAATGGCGATATATTACAACTGAATATATACTGTGTCCAAAATGGGCATGACTTCAGAGTTTTACACAATTCACATCTTTCCAAGTGCATGCAGAGTTGGAGGTGTCACTTGTCATGTTGGAAATGATGTCAGTAGACTTAATTAAAAAAATAAAAATCCAGAAAATATTGTAGGTGTATTTTAACCTCCCAAATGTATTGTGTATCGTACCCTATTCAAAATGTCGTGATATATTGTGCATTGCAGCCCTATCTTATGTTACAGATAGAGTACTTACCAAGCTGCGTGAGACCGTGTCACCGTCATGTCAAAAAACTGTAGGGATATTACAGAGGAAACCATCTGTAGGGGAAAACACATTGTCAGAATACTGTAGACGTACTTATTATAGTGGACACAAATTTCAGTTTTTTATCTGATTAGACTAGCCCATTGATGAAAAAGTGCACTCACAATAGTGAACTAAGAACCTTTAATAGGTGCAATTATAAATTATCACAATATTTAACTCATTCACCCCTGAAAACACATTTGAACCCTTCCAATTCAAAGGTTGGAATAGTTCATTAAGAAATTTCAGGGATGAATTAAAGCATGAAAAGCACTAAAATTGAAATATTACTGAAATATTTTCATTAACATAATCATTAAAACAAAAAGAACAAAAAAACCCCCTCAAAAATCTATTTGTCAATATTCCTCTTTTAATCAAAATTATAAATATATAGGCTGTTACTCCACTTCCCTTTTGATTTGATCGGTCAGGTATTAGCTAAGTTATACATTAATTATTAAAGATTAAAAAAGGCCTGAGACAGTAGCAAAACCATTTTTTTATTGAAGAAGAGATACTTGATAGGTACAAAAATACCCTGTCACTCAATCTCTTTCAATGCTTCCGTTTACCTTGATTTAAATTTAATTTGAAATTTATTAACTTTTATCAAAATTAGTCATCTTGAACAAATCTTTTAGTTATCTGTAGAGATTGTACTTACCTTGGTAAAGCCTTGTATCCTAACAAACTGTGCTTACCTTGGCAAAGCCTTGTATCCTAACAAACTGTAATTACCTTGGAAAAGCCTTGTATCCTAACAAACTGTTCTTTCCTTGGCAAAGCCTTGTATCCTAACAATCTGTACTACCCTTGGCAAAGCCTTGTATCCTAACAAAAAGCAATTACCTTTGCAAAGCCTTGTATCCTAACAAACTGTGCTTGCCTTGTCAAAGCCTTGTATCCTAACAAACTGGATAGGTACAAAAATACCCTGTCACTCAATCTCTTTCAATGCTTCCGTTTACCTTGATTTAAATCTAATTTGAAATTTATTATCCTTTATCAAAATTAGTCATCTTGAACAAATCTTTTAGTTATCTGTAGAGATTGTACTTACCTTGGCAAAGTCTTGTATCCTAACAAACTGTGCTTGCCTTGTCAAAGCCTTGTATCCTAACAAACTGGATAGGTACAAAAATACCCTGTCACTCAATCTCTTTCAATGCTTCCGTTTACCTTGATTTAAATCTAATTTGAAATTTATTATCCTTTATCAAAATTAGTCATCTTGAACAAATCTTTTAGTTATCTGTAGAGATTGTACTTGCCTTGGTAAAGCCTTGTATCCTAACAAACTGTAATTACCTTGGCAAAGCCTTGTATCCTAACAAAAAGCAATTACCTTTGCAAAGCCTTGTATCCTAACAAACTGCACTTACCTTGGCGAAGCCTTGTATCCTAACAAACTGTACTTACCTTAGCAAAGCCTTGTATCCTAACAAACTGGATAGGTACAAAAATACCCTGTCACTCAATCTCTTTCAATGCTTCCGTTTACCTTGATTTAAATCTAATTTGAAATTTATTATCTTTTATCAAAATTAGTCATCTTGAACAAATCTTTTAGTTATCTGTAGAGATTGTACTTACCTTGGCAAAGTCTTGTATCCTAACAAACTGTGCTTGCCTTGTCAAAGCCTTGTATCCTAACAAACTGTACTTACTGTACTTACCTTGGCAAAGCATTTCATCCTAACAAACTGCTTACCTTGGCAAAGCCTTGTATCCTAACAAACTGTTCTTTCCTTGGCAAAGCCTTGTATCCTAACAAACTGTACTTACCTTAGCAAAGCCTTGTATCCTAACAAACTGTGCTTACTGTACTTACCTTGGTGAAGCCTTGTATCCTAACAAACTGTGCTTACTGTACTTACCTTGGTGAAGCCTTGTATCCTAACAAACTGGGCTTACCTTGGCAAAGCCTTGTATCCTAACAAACTGTACCTACCTTGGCATAGCCTTGTATCCTAACAAACTGGGCTTACTTTGGCAAAGCCTTGTATCCTAACAAACTGGGCTTACCTTGGCAAAGCCTTGTATCCTAACAAACTGTACTTACCTTGGCAAAGCCTTGTATCCTAACAAACTGTACTTACCTTGGCAAAGCCTTGTATCCTTACAAACTGTGCTTACCTTGACAAAACCTTGTATCCTAACAAACTGTGCTTACCTTGGCAAAGTCTTGTATCCTAACAAACTGTACTTATCTTGGCAAAGCTTTTCATCCTAACAAACTGTACTTACCTTGGCAAAGCCTTGTATCCTAACAAACTTTACTTACCTTGGCATAGCCTTGTATCCTAACAAACTGTACTTACCTTGGCAAAGCCTTGTATCCTAACAAACTGTACTTACCTTGGCAAAGCCTTATATCCGAACAAACTGGGCTTACCTTGGCAAGGCCTTATATCCTAACAAACTGGGCTTACCTTGGCAAAGCCTTGTATCCTTACAAACTCGATGGACTCTAGGTAGGCCTCCTGTAGTCTTATTGTGTATAGACTCAACAACACGCCAAACACACCACTGAAACATTCCAAACATAACTTTTACAATAATCCAGAGAGGAAATGATCCCTATCATTGGGTACAAGATATAGAAAGTGCATATAAACATGTAGCTTTCCTTATCAAGGACATCATTTATCAAATCTACAACGTCATACAAGCGAGGATATAGAAGTCCCCTGAATGAAGGTTGATTATCATGTTAATACATTAACTCAAGTTTTTTATTTTCAAATTAAAAATATGCAATTATGATTTTTTCTTCTTCAAATTTTAGTATCATTGATGAATTGTAGATTTAAAGCAATCAGCAATTAATCAACAGAAATTAGAAAAATTTAGTAACAAACTGCCACTCATGAGATATCTGCTATTTTTATCACTCTAACCCTGTTTTTAAAATCTCAGACCATCCATTTAAAGGATGAGGCATAAGCTAAATATAACATCAGTTGCATACCATTTTCCTTATCTTTGATCGGTTATTATCCTGAACAATGGAACGTTGCGGTTTGAAGATTTTTGCCTTTGAAATTGTGATCTTCTATTACAGATGGCTTTGAAGTCAGGTGTTGCTTCTCTGTAATCTACAAAGGACAGGTATCGGTCTACTGATTGTCAGTTTTTTTTACCTGAAACCACTTATAGCTACCCATGTGCCTTTGATTTTGTCATGATTTATTTTAGGAGCATAGAGAACCTAAGGGAATATAACCCCTGCAATTTTAAGGATGGTTAGAGTACTATATGATTATGGCAGGCTCACCTGAATATACAGCCCATACAGAACTATGACTATGGCTGG